GGTGACTGGTGGAGGGAAGCGGGGCCGGGCGGCAGAGCCGAGAGGAGCCTCTTTGGAAAAGGTCGGGTTAGAGCGCGGCGGGACGCTGTGCCCTCGGTGGGGCTGCGGTGGCTCGGGGAGGGACGTCGCTGGTCAGGGACGGTGCTTTCAGCAGGCTTCTGTCCTTGGCGGTGAGAGCTTTCCACGCTTAGCGGCTCAAAAGCGGGTCCTAGGAGGTCGCGTTCATCGCCTCGGCTGCTCTGCTCGTTTGTTTGAGGTGGGGACGATGAGTTGAGGGAGAAGAGGGGTCTGTGTGAACCCTTTTTTGGCGGAATTACCATGGCTGAAGGCTGCTGGAGGGAGGGAGCTCCGTGGCCGTTTGGAGTTAGCAGGTCTAGGCTGTTGGTTGGGATTGCAACCGGGAATTTGGGCCCTTTGCTGCTAGGTCGTAGCTTCCCGCCGCACAGCTCTGCTGTTGCAATCCCTCACCTTGGTTTGCTTGGCTTTTTTCTCGAGTCTGGTCTGCTTCGAGCTTCAGTGGAGAGCTTTGGGATGAATGGTTCGCTAGAAGAAAGCAGAAATCGTCTCGATCGATGCTGTGAGTTATCGCAGGTAAACGCACGCGTGGCTTTGAGCGCTGGAAGGCCTTTGAGCGGCAGAATTACCTGGCTTTAACGCTGAATGTGTCGAGAGGTGACCTCACAGGAGCTTCGCTTTCTGCTACCTGGGGAAACTATGGCCGTCTTGTGCAGGAAGGTCTTATTTTCTAGTAGAAAAAAGGTGATTTTTCAGAAAGAAAAGTCTGTGCAACGCAAAGATGTGATCTTTGCTGACGGTAACTCACCGCGTTTGCTGGGGGACGTGCTTAACAGAGAGGCTTTACGCTGTTTCACCCTTGTAAAGAGGGCTAGAGTGAAAGGCAATCTTATCCCCAGGCCAGAAACCCGCCACCGTCTGCCTTCTCGGCAGCGGCAGGGTGTTGCCTGGGGGTGTTTGTGGTTTCTGACTGTGTCAGTGGGTATTTCCGTCGCTGATGTGCGCCAGGGTGGTGAATTGGAAAGGCAGCTGGAGCCAGCTTCTGCGCGGGGCTGTTGCTTTGACTGAAGGCGCTTCCCGACGGAAACGCTTGCGTAAGGAAATTATGCGGAGTTGTAAAGTCTCGTTTCCTACCTCGTGCGTTTGAGCTGATCGCGTGGATGCGGCCGAGCGCTCGCGGAAATCTAGTCTTCTGTGCCTTTGGGGTCAAGCAGCGGATTCCTGGGGTCAGAAACTGATTCCTGGGGTCAAAAAGCTGATTCTCGGGGTCTGCCGGGAGCTTTTTTTTTTTTTAACCCCAGCCCCTTCTCTCTGTCCGCAGGCCGTGTTTATTACTTCAACCACATCACAAATGCCAGCCAGTGGGAACGGCCCAGCGGCAGCGGGAAGAACGGCCAAGGGGAGCCTAGCAAAGTGCGATGTTCGCATCTCTTGGTGAAACACAACCAGTCCAGAAGACCCTCGTCGTGGAGGCAGGAAAAGATCACGCGGACCAAAGATGAGGCACTGGAGCTTATAAATGGCAAGTAAATGCAGGAGAGAGAGAGAGAATATGATGCTGTTGAAGGGGAAAAGTCATTTTAAGGCTAGAATTGGACCCCGAGATGAGTGGTTCAGTGTGTTGTGAACTTGCTAAAGCAAAGTTTGTTTTTTTTCTTAAGCCAAGTGGTTTGAACGTGGACTTTTGTGTGGCCCAGCCACTTGGAGAAACAATTTTGCTGTATGATTAAATGACGTAAAGATAGGTCCCAGCCCATGTGTCTTCCCCTTTGTGTTTTTTTTTTGTAATGTTATTTCAGAGGTTTGTTTGTATTTTCTTTGTAAATGTGTATTTTTATATTAAAAATAAAATTATTTAAAGCTAAAACACATGTTCTTTAAACATTTCTTTTTATTTAATGTCACTTGACTCCTTGCCCTAGTAGCAACTTAGAGTAAGTTCTAATTAACCTCTGCTTGAAATCAAGTTGCTTGTAGGAGGCAGCCAACCTTGGACGAGGCTGTACGGGTGACCTGATCGGCTCGGGCTTTTCCCAAAGCGTTCTGGCTTGCGATCTGGTCTAGGAGCGAGGCCGCTGCGTGCCTTCCGCCATAGGTGGTGTTCATCTTTGCAGCCTAGGTTTTTTTTTTTTTTTTTTTCCTTGCAACTCTGGCAATAGAATTGAAGCGATGTCGCGTTTCTTCACCGTTGAGGTTTTGATCTTAGGGAAGCAAGTTCAAAGTGCAGCTGTTACTGCTGGCTTTTACCGCTTAGGATAAGGAATTTGGGGGCTTGGGGTGGGGTTTAAATCGGTCCCGCTGATTAATCGATGAAACTGAGACGCGCTCTTTAGCGGGCAGCTTTGTCTTTTCTGGCAGCGAGGTTGCAAGGCGAGCTGACGCGCTGCGAGCGCACAGATGTGTACCGCAGTGCTGGGGCTGTCTTATCTTTTACGGCTTCGGCAGTGAGGGAGGGAAGATAGGGAGGGTGTTTTGGCTATTGCCTTGGTCCTAACCAACAATAAATTTAAGGACATTCTTGTTTGAAAGCCCTGGGAGGGGAAATTTCTTTGCTAAATAATTTGAGGCAGCGACCAGCAGGTGGTATCTGCTCACCGCTTTTTGGAAGGGGAGGCTAAATTAACTGGCACAGATGGGAATTTTCGTAGGGAATTGTCTCCTTTGGGTTAGGGTGGCTGTGAAAGTGTGGCCGGAGGTGACGAAGCGGGATGCAGGCCTAGTGTGGAGACCTGTGCCAAGCGAGTTGAGGCTGTTGCAAAGATAAATAGATTGAAATATTTCAGCCAAGCTGCAAATTCTCTTTCTTTCTCTTCTCTTTCATTTTTTTTCTTTTAAAGAACTGTTGTAGACCCATCTCCTGGAGCGTTGTTCCTCAAAAGGTCAGCGCAAAGCTTTCCACAGATCGGAGGTTAAATGATGCACGATGCTGGCGTGTTTTAAGCGGGCATTGGTGAACTTGGATCTTTGTACGAGGGAATCGTTTCTATTTTTAGAAGGGAAAGTTGTCGTCTTATCTCTAGAGAGGTATTTCAGGAGCTTGTGACCAGGTGGGCTTTCTGATACGTTGATGTTCTGTAAAGTGGTTATCTTTAGAAGCCTGAATAACGTTATTTGGACTCAACGCTTGTCATCATTCTTTCTTCGCGTGCTTTTCTTTGAGGTGCCGCGGTTCTTTGCTACCTGGTAAGGCGACGGAAAGAAACGGCTTAAACTTTCCTTAGCTCGAAAGAATGAGATTAAGCTTGACGGCTTCAGAGCCTTCTCGCTATCAGGTAACTCTCGCGTTTCGTAATCTCTCTGTGGTGTCTGAAGAGAAGAGAGTCGTGATTAAAACTTACTTCATGTAAATGCTCTGCTTGTCGTCTTGGTAAAGGGAATTAAGTCCTATAATGGGAATGCCGTTGTCAAAAAGAAAAAAAAAAAAAACAAACCTAACCGCCTTTCTGTCCACATTTGTCCCGATAAACACTATTCCTGGGAAGGTCATAGGGAACATCAGCTTATGATTAATTGTTTTATGGTGGCTTCTTGAAAATTACTGTAAGTTAGGTTTCTAGAACAGCTGAAACTTATTGGGAGGATGCAGGGCTCAGCTCCGCTACGGCTCCTGACAGTCGGGCATCGGTGAACTCCTCTGAACAGCTGTACTGTCCCTGGTGACTGTAATTATAGCGTGGAATCGTCTGAGTAGGTCTCTGGGGAGGAATTTGTTTGAGCAGGCACAGTACCACACGTTTTCGTGTTTTGTTTGGAGATCGGTTATGTCTGAGATCTCCCTCCGAATCTGGCTCTGGCGTTAATGCTTTCTGCAATAAAAATCTGAGAAAGAAATTTGATTAGGGAGCTCTTTGTCCCCACGGGAGAGGGGACAATACTAAAGATAAATGTTTTCGGTAGGTGAACTTGACTGATGTCAAGTATTCCATGTGATGGCTTTTCTCCGATAATAAGGGAGGAGAGTCGAGAGAGCTGGAGGGGTGCGTCGTCCGTGAAGAATTTTTAATCCGTTAAGAAAGTTGCAGCGGAGAATTAAATGTAGGTTAGCTCTCCTCCCGTTGTG